TTAGGAATTTTCACTCTCCTTATACAGATGACTGTATAATGACACTCAGGACAGTTATTGCCCAAGATCACATATTCAGTAAATATCAGGGTCAGTGCAAATCTCAGCCTTTCTGGTTTCAAGGTCAGGCTCTGATCTTGTGAATTGTCCCAAGTGTGTTTCAGAGAACACTATAAAAACCACTACCAAGCTGGGTGCAGTGGTGCACGCCTGTAATCCCAGGGACTTGGGAGGCTGAGACAGGAGGACTGAGGGTTCAAAGCCAGCCTCAACAACAGCGAGGCGCTAAGCAACTCAGTGAGACTCTGTCTCTAAATAAAATACAAAATAGGGCTGGAGATGTGGCTTGGGGGTTGAGTGTCCCTTAAGTTCAATCCCCAGTACCTGCCCCTCCCAAAAACCCACTACCCAAAATACCCCCACAACTCTGGAGTTCAAATTGGTTTGGGAAATACCAACTCAAGGCCGCAGGTCTCTTGGCTGCAGCTCTTTTTAGGATGGCAGCATGCCAGTGACTTCTGTGAGCACTATCAGAGATCAGGCTCCTGCATCACACGACCGAGCCTTTGCTCCAGAGCTTCCGGCGGAACAGGCTTTGGGAGGGGTTGAGCTCCCATGTCTTCAGTTGTGGGGTGAATTGCGTGCCCTTCCTACCCCCTCAAAAAAGGCACTTTTAAGTTCTAACCCCCAGAATCTTAGAACGGATCTTGTTTGGAAATAGGGTCCTTTGTAGATTTAACCAAGCTAAGATGAGGTCGTTAGGTGAGCTCCAATTCAATGTCACTGGTGTCCTAATAAAAGGGGAAATTTGAGCACACAGAAAGGGACAGGCAGAGTGGGGAGGCCTTATGAAGATACACGGTGACACAGCCAGAACACCCTGTGAAGACAGAGGGTAGGAGTGATGCTTCCGTCAGCCACAGAATGCCAGAGATGGCCTACAAACATCAGAAGCTGGATGAGACAAAGACGGACCCTGCCCTGGAGTGGTCAGACAGAGAGTGTGACCCTGCTGGCACCTTGATTTTGGTCTTGTAGCCTCCAAAACAGAGAGGATGAATTTCTGTGCTCCATGTCTGCACATTGCTATGGTGGCTCTGGGAAATGAGTAGACAGCTTTGGACTCCTGTCAAGACTTAAATTTCTTGGCAATGCTATCCTCCCAAGAATCATCCAAATGATAAACTGGGGTGGCTTACCAAAAGCTAGATGGAGGACAAGAGCGAGCCTTGAGGGATAAGCAATAGCACCAATAGCAATTGAGAGCTGCAGCTTTGGGGCAGGGCCACCAGGCTTTGCATCCCACTTCTTGTTTATTTATTTATTTATTTTGGTACCAGGGATTGAACTCAGGGGCACTCGACCCTGAGCCACATCCCCAGCCCTATTTTGTATTTTATTTAGAGACAGGGTCTCCCTGAGTTGCTTAGTGCCTTGTTTTTGCTGAGCCTGGCTTTGAACTTGTGATCTGCCTGCCTCAGCTCCCCAAGCCAATGGGATTACAGCCATGCACCACCACGCCTGGCTGCATCCCACTTCTAGTGTGCCCTGGGCCCATTACCTCCCATTACCTCAGCTCTCTGCACACAGCTTCCTTTTCTGTAATGTGGGGACACCAACGCTTCATAGGTGACAAGAGACTAAAATGCCTAGGCTAGTAGCTGGCAGGTGGCTAGTACCTGTACCTTTGAAATGACACAGGGAAGATTGCATGGTAACTTTAAAGGCAGACAGGCCACACTAGAATCCACCACTCCTGTCTCCATGGGCAATTTGATAATTGCTAATCACTAATCTTTTGAAGTCTGCATTTCTCCATCTATATACTAGAAAAAGTAGTCTCTATTGTGAAAAGATGATTGTTTTTTTTAAAAAAGGTAAAATCATGACTCTGAATAGATAACAAAAAGAACACACATTATTTTTATTAATAAATGAACCAAAGATGTTACAACTGATTCAAAAGAGAATGCAAAGGACAGGCATATTTATGGATCAGGAATTTTGATTTTCAGAAAGCCACAGTGAACTGGCTTTTGCATGTGGTAGAAGGGTTGACAGAACTTGTTTCCTGTCCCCAGCCAAGAGCCATTCTGTCTTCTGTTCCCCAAAACTTACAGAGCTGTAGAACTAGCTCAGAGCGGAAATCAGCCCGGAAGAAAGGGCTTGGAACAACACATAGCTCTTCTTGCAGACACCCACTAATCCTTTTGCTGATTCCAGATTTCCTTATTGTGTCTCACATATTGTATGGATGGGGTTGGGAGAAGATGAACACATGAAAAAAACAAGTTGCTGAATAAGGCACAATCCTATTTTCATAAAAACAAACTAGGTGTATTTGTACACACACACACACACACACACACAAGTGGGCGTGCTGTACTGTTGATTAAATATAGACAAATGTCAGGAAGAACACACAAGGGTTGTCAATGGTGACTGCCTCTGGAGGGCAGGATTAGTGATGGAGATAGTGGAGGGAGGCTTCCATGACTACTTCTTCTTCTTTTTTTTATTTGTTATTTTTAGACATACATACAGTAGGATATATTTTGAGATATTATACATACATGGGGTGCAATCCATTGCAATTTATTTTACTTTATTTAGTTGTCAATGAAACTTTTGGTTCTATTTATTTAGTTAGTTGATTTCTTTATTTAGGATTAAACCCAGGGCGTCCCACATGCCAGGCAAGCTCTCTACCACTGAGCCACAATTTTGATCCCATTCTTGTGGTCGATGATGATGTGCAGTTACACTGGTCGTGCATTCATATATGAGCATAGGAAAGTTATGTCTCATTCAGTCTACTGTCCTTCCTATTCCTTTCCCTCCTCCCTTCCTTTCATTTCCCTTTGTCTAATCCAGTGAACTTCTATACTTCCCTTCCCTACCCTCCCGTGTTATAGGTTAGCATCCACATATCAGAAAGAACATTCTACCTTTGTTTTTTGGGGACTGAATTATTTTACTTAGCATATTAGTCTCAAGTTCCACCCATTTACCAGCAAATGCCATAATTTCATTGTCCTTTATTGCTGAGTAATATTCCATTGTGTACATATACATTTTATTTATCCATTCATGTGTTGAAAGACACCTAGGTTGGTTTCATAGCTTGGCTATTATTAGTTGAGCTGCTATAAGCATTGATATGGCCACTGACATGACTTATTTTCTAACCCTACTTCACAGTATACCATGAATGAGGCATATCTGAATGAGAAAACTGTCCATTATGCTTAGCACCATGGGTAACATTTCATATATTGTTGGCTTCTTTATTATTATGAACTTATATTTAAAGAGCCCAGATTTCCCAGGGTTGTTCTGGGGACAGAAATCACCAGCTAGACCCACCTGAATGTAGCCCTACTACTGATCCCTTTCAGTAAAGCTGGTTTTATAATCTGGCCTTGCATTTTGGAAACCTGAGAACTGGAGAAGGCCTTCTTCCTGGGGTACAGTCTTGGGTGGCTCTGTCTGTTTTTTCCTCCAACTTCCGCAACCCCGCCGACTTGGGCTCACCCAGTATTTAGCTACCTGACCACAGGTGGGAGTCCTGATGGGGGCCAAACTCTAGAAAAATGGGCTGCCTACATCCAGTGCCATCCTCCTGCCCACCCTGAGACACCCACTAGCTCCATAGGAGACATGTTGGCACACTGCCCTGGAGGAGGTGTTGGGCACAAGGGTCAAAGAATACCAAGTTTTTGATCACACAAATTCAAGGATCTAATTTTAGCCTCCTGTTTGTCCCCCAAGGTTGGCCATGGTGCATTGGAGAGGACTTGGGATGGGGTCATAAAATGTGACCCTAGTATAGGTTTGGCCTCTCACTAGCTGTGTCTCTGTGGATTGTGCTTTAGTTTTCCCATCTGCCCAAGGGGAATAAAAAAAATGTTTATTACCAAGAGCTACTGTGAATTTCAAATGAGGTGATGTCTGTTAAGGTATTTTGTGATCTGAGGGTTCTGCTGAGATTTGACTATATAGTGTAGTATATTTCAGGCTGCTCTTACTATAGTAAGAGCAAATGCTATCTAGTACTTCCCTGTGTCCTGGTGTGTGTGTGTGTTTTACATATATGTAATCACTCACTGTTCACATCTTTGCCATGAGTAATGTACTGTTTTCCAGTCCTGATTTTACAGATGAGAAAACAGAGGCAGAGAGGTAAGTCACTTTCCCCAGTTGGATGGAATCTTTCATTAGGGAACCATCTTTTCACTGTCTCCCAGGCTCAACTGTGTTTCCTTTTCTTTTCTTATATCCTTTCTATTGTAGAATATGTCAGTACATGTAAGAGTAAAAAGGATATGATAACAGTAATAAGGATATGAATTTATTACCTAGCTTCATAAATTCCCAAATTACAGCCAATCTTGCTTCCTTGCTTCCTCCCATCATTCCTCTATAAAACAAAACCTTTAGGTCATGTCAAATCTTTAGCAGTTTTTCAACAATTCCCTAATATCATGACTATTCAATGTTCATATTTCCCAGGTTATTTTCTACCTTTTAAATTAGATTGCTTATTTCAATTGGAATTCAAATAAGAGTTCCACAAAATAGTTGAGTGTTAGGTTTCTTAAGATTATTTTAGCATATAGGTTTCCTCCTCTCTTTAATTGCATTTTTTGGTTTGTTTGTTGTTGTTTTTTTGAATAAAGTGTATGGATTTTGCTGAACACACCCTTATGGTTTGTATACGGTTATGATTCCTCTGTTCCCTACATTTTCTGTAAAATCATATTATATCTAGAGGCTATCCAAAATCAGGTTTTCTAAAAATAGACTTGATTTTTTTTTTAGGGCTGTTTTACATTCACAGCAAAACTAAGAGAAAGGCACAGACATCTCATATGCCCCCCGGCCCAGCACATGAGTAACATTCTGCCTTGCCAACGTTCTCTGCCTCAGTGATGTACTTTTTGTGGTTGACCCTACATTGATTGATACATATTAATCATCCAAAACCTGTTTTAGCTGGGGATGTGTGTGGCTCAGTGGTAAAGCATTTGCCTCATATGCACAAGGCTCTGGGTTCAATCCCCAGCATCATCTAAAAAACAACCTCTAAAGCCCATTTTACACTAGGGTTCGCGCTTCATGTTGGTTTTGGACAAATGCATAATGACATGCATCCATTACCATATTACATACCTTACATTAGCATGTATCTATATATCCCTACTATAAGATGGAAGAGCTTCATTGCCATAAAAATTCTTTGTAGCCATTCATGGTGGTGCACACCTATTGTCTTAGCTACTTGGTAAGTTGAGGCAGGAGGATCACTTGAGCCCATGAGTTCCAGACCAGCCTGGGTAGCAGTGAGACCCCATCTCAAAACAAAAACAAAAACAAAAACGCTTCTGTGCTCTATTTATTCATCCCTCCCTGCCTCGCATCTCCTGGCAACCACTAGTCTGTTTTCTGTCTCTATAGTTGTGCCTTTTCCAGAATGTCTTATAGTTGGAATCATGCAGTATGCAGCATTATAAGGCTGACTTCTTTCACTTAGTAATATGCAGGTGAGATCCCCCATGTCTTTTCATGGCTTGAGAGCTCATTTCTTTTTAGCACTGAATGATATTCCATTGTCTGGATGTGCCATAATTTTTTAATCTATCCACTTACTGAAGATATCTTGGCTATTTTCAAGTTCTGGCAATTATCAATAAACATTCATGAGAAGGTTTCTCTTTGGACTAAGTTTTCAACTTCTTTGGATTCAAATCAAGGAATGAGACTGCTGGATCTCATGGTAAGACTACATTTAGTTTTATAAGAAACTGTCACACTGCCTTTCAAAGAGGCTGTGCCATTTTGCACTCCCACCAGCAACATCTGAGAGTTCCTGTTTCTCCACACCCTCACCAGCATTGGGTTTGTCAGAGTGCTTGCTTTTGGCCATACTAGTAGTTATGGAAAGGTATCATTGCTATTTTTATTTTTAGTTTCCTAATTATACATTCTATGGAGCATTTTTTCATATGTTTTACTTGACATCTGTATCTTCTTTGGTGAATGTCTGTTAAGGTTGTTGACCCATTTTGAAAAAAAATGGCTTGGCTGTTTTCTTCTTGTTGAGTTTCAAGGGTTCTTTGTAAAGTTTAGTCCCCTATCAGATATGACTTTTGCAAATATTTCCTCCCAGTCTGTGGCTTATCTTTTCATTCTCTCTGTCTTTTTGACAGAGTAGAAAAACTTGATTTTAATGAAGCCCAGATTATCAATTCTTTCTTTTATGGATTGTGTTTTTGGTGTTATATCTAAAAAGTCATTGCTAAATTGAAGTCACCTAGGTTTTCTTCTACCTTTTCAGGACTGTTATGGTTCTACATTTTACATTTAAGTCTGATTCATTTTGAGTTGATTTTTTTTGTGTGTGTGAAATTCTGTGCTTGGATTCACTTTTTTCCATGTGGGGATCTACTTTCCCCAGCATCATTGGTTAAAAATTGTCTCTTTCCTCAGCTGTACACTGTTCCCTTGTCAAAGACATGTTGACTGTATTTATGTTTGTCTATTTTGGATTCTCTATTCTGCTCCACTGATTTATTTGTTCTTTTGCCAATATCACACCATCTTGATTATGGTAGCTTTATAGTAAGACTTAGAGAGTTGCATAATATCAGTCTCCTTCTGTATCATGTTTGTTATTCTGGATCTTTTGCCTCTACATATAAACTTTAAGATCAGTCTATTGATACCAATCAACAAAATAATTTGCTAGGATTTTGACTGGGATTGCCTTGACTCTGTAAATCAAGCAGGAAGAATGGACATCTTGACAGTATTGAGTCCTCCTGTCTTTGAACATGGAATATTTCTCCATGTACTTTAAAAAAAAAGGTTTTTTTTAGTTGTGAATGGATATAATACCCATATTTATTTTATTTTTATTTGATGCTGAGAATCAAGCCCAGTGCCTCACATGTTTCAGGCAAGTACTCTACCACTGAGCCACAACCCCAGCCCTCTCCATGTACTTTTGAAACATTACTTTGCTTATCAGAGTTTTGTAGTTTTCCTCATATAGATCTTATGCATATTTTGTTAGATTTATACTGAAGTATTTCAGTTTTTGAGGTGCTAGTATAAATGGTATTATGTTTTAAATTTCAAAATTTACTTGTTTGTTGCTGATGTATAGGAAAGCAACTGAGTTTGCATATTATCATCCTTGTGTCCTACAACTTTGCAATAATCATTAATCAGTGCTAAGAGAGTTTTTTGTCAATTCTTTTGGATTTTCTAAATAGACAATCATGTCATCTGTGAACAAAGAGAGTGTTTTTTTATTTCTTTACAATTCATATGCCATTTTATTTCCTTTTCTTGTCTTATGGCATTAGCTAAGACTTATAGTAAAATGTTGAAAAGGGGTGGTGGGGGGGACATCCTTGTCTTGTTCCTGATCTTAGCGGAAAAGCCTCCATTAAGTTGATAGCTGTAGGTTTATATATATATATATAAATCAACTGAGGAAGTTCCCCTCTATTCCCTAGTTTTCTGAAAATTTTTATCATGAATAGGTGTTAGATTTTGTCAGATGCCATTTCTGCATCAGCTGTTATGATTCTGTGGGTTTTTTTCTTTAATATGTTGATGTAATGGATAAATTCTCTGAGTTTTGGATGTTGAACCAGATTTATATACCTGGGATAAATTCCATTTGGTTGGGTTGTTTAATTTTTTATACATTTTTGGATTTTATTTATTAACATTTTATTGAAGTTCTATTTTTTCATATATTTTTAGGAGAATATATTAGTCAGCAGTTTTCCTTTCTTGTAATATTTGTCTGGTTTGGTTTTAGGGTGATGCTGGCCTCATAGAATGAGTTAGGAAGTATCACCTCTGCTTCACACTCAAAGAGATTGTAGAGAACTAGTATAATTTCTTCTTTAAATGTTTGGTAGGGCATACAGTGAACCTGTATGGGCCTTGTGGTTTCTCTCTTTGGAACTTGTTAATTATTGATTTAATTTCTTTAATAGATATAGATCTATTCAGATTGTCTATTTCTTCTTGTGTGAGGTTTTGTTTTGTTTTTGTACTGGGGATTGAACCCAGGGGTTAACCACTGAGCCACATCCACAGTCTCTTTGTATTTTTTATTTTGAGACAGGGTCTCACTAAGATGCTTAGGGCCTCACTAAATTGCTGAGGCTGGTCTTGAACTTTCAATCTTCTAGCCTTAGCCTCCTAAATCACTGGGAATACAGGTGTATGCCACCATGATGGGCTTGCATGAGTTTTTTTTTTTTTTTTTTTTTTTGCTGGGTGGGAGTTACTAGGGATTGAACTCAGGTGCACTCACTCACTGAGCCACATCCCCAACCCTATTTTGTATTTTATTTAGAGACAGGGTCTCACTGAGTTACTTAGTGCCACACTGTTGCTGAGTCTGGCTTTGAACTTGTGATCCTCCTGTCTCAGCCTCTTGAGCTGCTGGGATTACAGGTGTGTGCCACCATTCCCAGTTTATGTGAGTGTTTAACAGATTCTATTTTTTAAGAAATTGTCCCATTTCGTCTAAGTTATCAAATTTGTGAACATAGAGTTGTTTATGTATTCCTTGGTTATCATTTTAATATCCATGGGATCTGTAGTGATGTCCTCTTTAATTTCTAGTATTATATCCCTCCTCTCTCTTATTCTCTATTTATTTATTCTGAATGAATGAACTAAGAAAAAAATTTTCAGTGCTGGGAATTGAACTCAGAGGCTTGTACATGGAAGAGAGAGCTCTATCCATAAGTTTATCAATTATATTTATCTTTTTAATAAACCAACATTTTATCTTCTTAATTTTCTCTATTGATTGCTTATTTTCAACTTCATTGATTCCTGTTCTATTTTTTTTCTTCTGCTTGGTGTGGATTTAATTTACTCTTCTTTTTCTAGTTTCCTAAGTTGGAAGTTGAGATGATTTAGATACTTCCTTTCTAATATGTATTCAACACTTCGAATCTCCCTCTAAGCACTGTATTACTGAATTCCACAAATTTTTGGTAAGTTGTATTTTAATTTTCATAAAACTATTTTGAGGTTTTTGTTTTTGAGGCCATGTGTTCTTGATAAATGTGTTGTCTAATCTCCCAGTAATTGGGATATTTCGGCTTTCTTTTATTGCTATGTAGTTTTAGTCCGTTGTGGTCTGTAGACATTGTATGATTTCTAGTCTTTTAAATTTGTCAAGGTATGCTTTATGAATAAGAATATGGCCTATCTTAGTGAATGTTCCATGTCACTTTGAGAAGAACCTGTGTTCTACTGTTGCTGGATAAAGTAATATATATAGATGTACATAATATCAAGTTGATTGATGGTGTTGTTGAGCTCAATATCCTTACTGATTTTCTGCTTGCTGATAGAGGAGTTTTGAAGTCTCCATTCAAACTTGTAGATTTGTCTAGTTCTCCATGCAGTTATATCAGTTTTGCCTCACATATTTGACACTGTGTTAGATATATGCTTGTTAAGGATTGTTATGTATTCTTGGAGATTTGACCTCTGTATTATTATATAGTGGCCTTCCTTCTCTCCAATAACTTTCCTTGCTCTGAAGTCTGCTCTGCCCAAAATTAATATAGCTATCTCTATTTTCTTTTGATTGATATTAGCCTAGTATAGCTTTCATCATCCATTTGCTTTTATTCTATGTGTGACTTTATATTTAAAGTGGAGTTCTTGTAAACAACCTGTTGGTAGGTCTTTTTGATACAGCCTGATGACTTTTTTTTTTGTACTCAGTGGCACTCGCCCACTGAGCCACATCCCCAGCCCTATTTTGTATTTTATTTAGAGATAGGGTCTCACTGAGTTGTTTAGCACTTCACTTTTGCTGAGGCTGGCTTTGAACTCACCATCCCCCTGCCTCAGCCTCCCAAGCTGCTGAGATCATAGGCATGCGCCACCACATCTGGCTGCCTCATGATTTTTAATTGATGCATTCATACCATTGATATTCAAAGTGATTATTTATATAGTTGGGTAGATAGCTGCAGTATTGTTTTCTATTAGTTGACCTTATTTTTTGTTCCTGTTTTTGT